GGGTCGCGAGGACGAGACAAGTGTTGTTTTTGTTTTGGCGTGGCGGCGAGCGCTGTTCGGCGGATTGACGGGCGAGTCGAAGGTAGAAGATGTTTGGCGGCGGCACGCGTGAGACAGATCGATTGTGACCGCGGGCCTGAGTGAGTCCGGATATTGGGAATTTGTTTTCTGTGTGAGACGCCGCTCTTGTGCAAATCTTCCTGCGTGCGTTCGTGCGGCTTCGTTACGACTACGACTACGGCGTCGGGCTTTTGCTTTTGCTTTCTACGTGCTCCGGGACATCAACATATTGCTGCATGGCGGACAACGAGCGTAACGGTTTCAGAAGGGACCTAAGGCCTGATCTACAATAGGTGTTGTAAGCTGTAAGCCGTAAAAATTAACCAATTATAGCCGATTATTTTTAATAATCGACTGTGATTCGCCAATTCTTACAACTTACAACTTACAACACGTATTGTAGACCAAGCCTAAGTGTTTCTCCGACATATAAGATAAATGTACCAGTTATTGGACAGTTAAGGAATTATGCAATGAAATAATTTTTTTAAGTTTACTAGACTCTAAACTTTTAATTTATTATGAATGCCTGGTATAAATGCATATTTCCTCTAACTAATTTCATTATTCAATATATTATTTGTGTCAATTGTAAATTATTTTTACCCATAAATATGATTTGAGTCATATGTCCTAATTATTGGACCTGCTATATTTACATCTTTGGCGTTTTTGTTCGCTTTTGTTCACTTTTTATTTTCTATTAATTTTGTCTTTAACAAAAAGACAAATAAAGTTTATTACATTAATTGACGTAACCTGAGATTATGTTAAGGTTATGTTTCAAAAAATTATTCGAAATTATTATTATATACTAACTAAAATCGTTCATTCTTAAATCAAACAATGACTTGTATTGTAATTATTAAATATCAATATAAATATTATTAAATATCAATTAACTTACCATGCTTTCATCAAGATTTTATTGCTTCTTGTTTTTTATTAAATGCCACGAGCACAGTTCAACTTGGCTGTCCAATGACTGGTACAAACGTTAAACTGCGATACGCTTATTTTTGGACAACCGTCCATTCGCTACGACATTCATATATACGCGTGCACCGCTTATTGGACATCTATTTTTATTAATTTTAACAAATAATTTGGTATTATGTATTCAATTTTGCACTCGGAATTATTCATCAATTTATACTTTAAATTTATATATTGTACATCCAATAAAATATCTAAATTCAAAATAATTAAATGCTTAAGAAAAATAACTTTAGTCTTAAAGCTTTTGCTTCGATATCGATATGTTTTATTCATTGCCATCATCACATTATTTTTGAAAAATCTTTTTAAAGATATGTCATTTTCAATATGAATAAGTTATGAAGCAATTAATTCCTAAATAATATGAAAAATTAGAACAAATTTATTTAAATTCATTAATATTACCAAACGCTTAATATTTAAAATTTATGTCATTTCGTCCAATAATTACCTAATATTAGTGGCCATGTCCACTAATTGGTACATTTACTTTATATAAGTAAAAAATCATTGTGATATATCAGAATCGAGAATCCCCGCGATCTTGGTTCTTGTTTGTAGAGATCGTGAGATTGAGAGAAAGAGCATTCAATAATGCTTTTCGACAATCCAACATTTCAAGATTACTGATAAATAATATTATATCTGCTATAATATCTGTCATAATGTACATATCCATCAGGAAAATGCTTTAGAATATACTTCTTTCAAGTATAAATAAACGTTTCTCTTCAAGATCGTTACCATTTATTGCAGTATTTTATTCGTTCTGACAAGCAGATCGACATATATTCTTATTGAAATAAACTCGACTTTATACTATATATCTATATACTATATATATAACTATATACTATGAACAAAGCGATAAAAGAATAGATTCCGCAGTCGGCAAAACATGTATGTTGCTGACAAATTTTTCGATGTGATATATCTAGCATCGCGAAGATGGAAGTTCCATGACTACCTGCAGCATTCGAGCGTCTTAAATTACGGGCATTAAATTTGAATTACGCGATGGAAATCGTAGGGTTGTGTGAACCTGGTGATTTCTCAAATCACGAGGATGGTCTTAATGGATCAGCCTAACGACGCGATTTGAAAAATCGCCTCTTAAAATTGAATGTTCACGTAAGATGCGTTATTACAATGTATTCAGATGGTGAGTGCAATAAGTCATTTATAATTACACTTATTAGCGCGATGTCTAACCATCATCGATCATACTGCAGGATTCTAATGACGTACTTCAGTCGACGGAAAACAACTGATGTGCGAAACAAAAATATATAGTGAATTTTATATTATTCTTTATTATTATTCTGTAGCAGTAACCATTACCGAGAAATGAATTTCATTCAAGAACGTAACATACAAGTTATTAGAAATCACCTTATCATCTTGGAAATGCAAAAAATAATAAGTTTCCAATTTGGTTTTCAAGATAAACCTAAGGAAAACGAGTTTTCAAGATAGAACTATCTTGTATGAATTTTTTCAAGAACAGTCTTACGCGAAAGAAAAATAATATTTAAATTATTTTTCAAGCAAGGCCATTGCCTTTTCTGTTGCATACAGCAGCAGTTGTCCGTCTTACCTGACTTATGTGATGGCGCGAGAGCTCACGTCATGGCTGCGTTTTCGCGGGTGCATCATTGTTCGCGGCGTTGTTCGCACGCGGTGAACAACGTGGCGTGGGGAACGTAAGAGCCCGTTTTCGTTTCCTCAAGATCGATCGTTACCGACTTTGTTACCTAACTGTCAGGATAATCTGCGACAAGAATCACACGAGCCACACGATAGATATGAAGAAAGCGGACTCGTATGTGTCCGGCCCGTAGGCGAGTAGAGGGCAGGTGCGCAGATGCTTTCGGGAGAATAATTAATATTCAGCGAGGAAAAAGTGGGCGCGAAAGACCGACACGATGGCCTCCTCTTATAAACAGTTGACGCGTTAGCGAACGGGCACACTGCTCGCTAACCACGCACCTGGTACCTGGCCAAATAATAAAAAGTAAAGGAATAAACTTTCAGTCTTCTCACCGATTAGAACCATTACGGGACGGACGTTCGGTTACATACACACGATAGCGGCCTAACCTAAGACTGTTTAACTTACGAAAATTACGCGCTCGGCCGTGTTTGTGTTAACGACGAAATAATATAGCGTGCACTTCCGTTATTAATACCGAAGGTGTCGCCTCACCTTCCGGCGCATGTGTCGACTAATTTGTGTTGTTCGTCGCACTACGTATCGCGCCGTATGAAAAACGCGTTTTCGATTTCTTCTCGTTAAATGTCTATGTTGATGAGAATGATGGCACTCAGTCGTCGATTGCTTTTTCAATTTTCGCGTGCTGTACACACACACACACACACACACGTTATAGATATGCACATATATATGTATGTATATTTCTTAATTTCTTCTTCTTAATTAATTCTTCTTAATCTTCTTGTTAATTGTTGTTGTGGTAAATCTCATCCAAAAGAAAGAAAATGTTATTGTACATGTCATATTTTATTCATAGTTCTTCAACTACCCACAACGAAGGGAATTTTACATATTCCCAAATTTATATATTCACATTTTTTATTGACAAAAAGAAAACTTTTGAAAATGCACTTCACCAATCCTGATGGCATATTTTGGGTATGTTGTAAAACAACTTCAATGTATAAAAAATAAGAAGTATTTTTTTTTTACATCTGCTTTTATGAATCAAGATAATATCTCAGAGAAAACCCGGTAAAATCGAACGCGCATAATTTAGATTAGAAACGAGTTAACACAAGAGCTTAATTCGTCAACGGCTTGTCTCCACAAAGTTCTTTGGAGTCGCAATAAAAAATCACGCAACGCCCCATACATGTATTCACGAAACGGGATAATGATAGCCGTCCAAGCGAACTCCGCGCTATATATATGCCCCGAGTGTACGCCATCACGAAGCAGGTTTACGGCAGGTCTGCTGTCGCGGCTCCCGCATCGTCATCCAATGATATCATTATCGGTAATCTAAAAGTGAAAAAAGAAACAGGAAAAAACCCAGATGATCGGCCCCTGCTTGTCAACGGAGGTATCGTCCGATCGTGCCGCGCCAGGAATTGCAGCTGCAGAAAACGAGGAAAACTTGTGATCAGATAAGAGTAAAAGCAGAAGAGGGCGGCATAGGGGGAGGGAGGTGGAGAATTGGAGGGAGGGAGAAAGATAAAGAGCGCTCACGGAGGAACGGAGAAGTACAAATTACGGGCACCCGGAACCGTTCTTGCGGCCGTGTTAACTTTCGTCGCGTGCCTTCAGGAAATACCTCAACTTTTGCAGCCACGTGCTATCGCGCGTTGGGGCATTATAAACTTTCTATCGTTCACCTTTGTCTCTCCCGCTTCTGGCGCTCTTGCTCATGTGCGAATCGCAAATTAGCCGTATAATCGCTATTTTCGAAAGTGAGAACCATTCCCCTACCACCGAGAAGAAATTTATTCTTCCGTCAAAGACTTTTCCGTCAAAGATAAATATTCATTATTCTACGGTGCGATTATAGTCGTAAGTACTGTTTATCGATCCGAGTTCATTCATCTACAACCATTTTTACTTGTAAAAATGCTAATTATGCAATTAGCAGCCCGGTAAAAAGCAGCGTTGTTTAATTATATTTATCTTGAATCTTATTTATTAGATCGAATTCGATCATTTATGTAATTATTTTTACATGTGAAAACCAACTGTTGCTTAATGAATATAGCGCTATTTAATTGAGCTATGATAAAATGTATCAATCTTTATATATATCATATACGTAAAAAATAACGCGTGAGTGCAGAAGTATAAAAAAAATTTATGAATCAGATGAATTTAAAGGAATTCGCATCGAGAGTAGACCAAGTCTGATTTACCGTGACAGCATGTAATAATGATAGGCAATATTTGTAATGTGCAGATACGAAGCCGTGGAACTAATCTGCCGAGAAGTAAAGGCCGTCTACAAAGATTCGGAGATTGATTGGCTGCTGGTATACGACGCAGGTTGTACAATCGACGACACAGCTTTGCCTGAGCATGTGACGGAACCCAACGATCTCGATCGTTTGATCGGTGGAACATTCAAATTATTCTTGGCGGCTCTACCTACAGCTCCGACCATTGTCACCGTCGCCAGGTAGGTCGCTTCATCGTTAACTTTAAAACGTGCATGCTGGATTGCTTTTCTCGAGCCAGTCGGATATTTAAAAAAATTGAAGCTTTGCAAAGAATTCCGTTGGACGTGGTTTAGATAAGGGATAATTCTTTGTGCTGTAAGTTTCTCGCATAGACGGTAATTTTTAGGTCAACTTATTTTTTACAGTAAAACTTATAGTTCTCACGCGACATCCGTTCATTTGTACAAGTATTGAATAATATCATTAATAGTATTCAGTAATCATTATGAGTAATATTTTACATATCTTTTGTTTGTTGCGGTAAGAGAGCGTTGCGTTCATTCGAAATTAAAACTTCAAACCTGATATACATGCAATGGCGGTATACAAAATAATATGGTCGCTGCATTATCAAAATTAGTCTTGTTATCATTTCAGTATTATTACAGTTCAATGGTACAGTCAGTTGCTAAAATATTACTTACGATCGTTCATTGGTTAGATTCAAATCAAGAGTGATCGCAAGTGCGATGCACTGAGAGCTAGCTATGCGTGTAAATGTCATAAACATCGTAAGACGATGAGGAAAGGGTGGTGTGTACATTTTACGAGAAGCGAGAGGCTAGGGAAGAATTTGACAATTATTGCACCGCACGCATATATCGATGAAATGAAACGTTCAGCTTGTTACAAATTGTTCGTAATTACGGCTACAACGACAGCAAAATTACATCGCCGCGCTTTTGCACGCGCGGCGACCGGCAGGGCTTGCACAAGTCGCAGATGGCGCGGAAGAAGATGCTGGGAGGGCACGAAGAAGGGCGGCTTATAGGGGGCAACAACGACGGGGCTGTCTGGAGGGTGGGTTCGGTTTGTGGGAATACCCTCAAGCCCCACCCTTCAGAAGGGGAAAGAGATGGGTCTCGACAAGGGCTGCACAAAATCAAACCATCTAACTTTCACGAGTCACAGTTAGATGTCCCTACCTTTGATGTCCCGTTTATTTCTTTCTCCGTGCTTTATCTCTCGAGACTCTCCATGAGGATTGAGCTGAACAAAAACGACAAAATTGTTTTGTTGAAATTATGAGAAAGAAGTTGGTTTATGTATATTAAATTTACGAGGGGCATAAAACATAAATACGAACGAAGATACACCAGGCCAGTGCGTGTACATAAATTGAATAATTGAATAATTCTTCGAAATTGAATAATTCTTTTGCGCTGGCTTCCACTTGATTCGTTGTCCAATTTCCCAAATATTCCAGAAAATTTGAATAAACTGAATATTTTGCTCTCCAGGACGGAGTATATGCTGAAAGAGTAATTTCTATCAAGTTTACAATAACTAATCAGTGCTGATCAGTAAAAGAAAAGAAGAAGGATTCATTATACGTTATATTACTATCTTTGTGTTAGTTGATACTTTCAATTGATATGGTTGTCAGTAAAATCGTCCTGAGATATTGGTAATTAACTAATTATATAGAATGGGTGAGTAATCAGTTAAACAGATATTAATATTATTAACACTATCATTTCTGCACGTGAAAAAGTAGCTTATTTGGTTTTCGGTGGTAAAAAATAAATTTGTTATATGTCTTCGTCAAGTAAATATAATGATTACATAGCGCCATCTCGCGACGAATGCACGGAGATTTTACTCAGACACTCAGCGAAGAAAAAATCGATTTCACCCTGTTTGATGTACTTTCACCCCTCGCTGCCTTCAATCTCTACATAGGCGTATTAGTTTCCGGGGTAGACGCGGAAACGCCACCGGATATCGCTTCTAGACAGTCTGCAGTCTCTCTCTCTCTCTCTCTCTCTCTCATAGTTTGCCATACAGATGATTAAATTATTGCAAAGTTGAGAAAAAGTTGACGAAAACGATGGCGAAAAATGGAGAAGTTCGATAGGAAAGCAAAAACGTTACGACAGTTACAAGTGAAAGAAAGTACAGAGTTTAATAAGTCGTTTAATAAGAAATAGAGAAAGGAGGGAGAGGCAGAGGGGAACAGGCATGATTTTTTACTACTGATTTTTTAATTTGATATTTTTTCTCCGGGCTACTATTTTTCGAACGATTACAGTACACATCGTAGATCGAGATTTTCCTTAAATAGTTATTAATTTCATGAAGAAGTTGAGGTGAATGAGCTCTAATTTGTAACAGAGAAAAATGTATGAAATAATAAAAGCGGATTTCGAGACAATGATTATCACGCGAGCTAATTTTTTATTGGAATCCAACGAAGAACAGCAATTATTGTCAATTAGATACATAAATGAACTAACTATATTCCTCTCTTTTACAGATCCAGCGAAGATGAATACTGCCCTCCCGAAAGCGTCGAACAAATACAATGTGCGGTTCTTGATGAACTCCACTTACGTCTCGGGTCGGAAGTAGACGTTCAATTTGCTTATCAACAAGACGAAGAGCAACAATGAATGAAGAAAATGTCTCCTTTCTTTTAAGAGAGTCCAAGGAATTACAATTTGTCAAATAAAGGTACTCTTGTAGCAGCAAATGTATTACGAGTAATTATCTGAACCTATGACGTATATCAATTTTTTTCGTATTGTTTCTAACATATCAATAGGAAAACAACGATGATTCGGCGTCAATCTCCATCGAATTAGAATCAGGTAAAATTTGTCTTATCGATCATATCGATTAGCGATCATAAACATTATATTTAAGAATCGACGAGTGAATTGATAGACTGAAAAATTCTCTCAATTACCAACCAATCCTATACATTGACATTGAAAGAAAGATCCGAATGCGTCGATCGAGCTTTCCTTCGTTCGGTGATATCCGTGTAACAACAATCTCGATCGCAAAAATATGCATTATTCGTTTGCGAGGTATCGCAAGACAGACAAAATCGGAAGATAAACACACGAGAAAGGGACCGACGACGGTGGTGCGAGTCTTTGATTGCGATTTACATAAGATCGGTGCCAGTGGTCCACTTTAGGACGCGAACACAATGCTGGCGCGAAGGTTGCCGCGCGTTCCTTTTTTCTTCTCTTCTTCTCATAACGAAAGTACCCTCTGTGATCCGCTCGTTCCACGAGTCTCAGATTTGCATACCACGAGTCAGTTTCCCATACGTCTCGACAGCTTCCGTCTCGTCGCTTCGGGCTCCTCTCCTATCGTTCCGTGTGTCTCCTTCTCTTCCTCTCTTCCGCTCCTTCCACGGCAGCAACCCTTTCAGCCATCGACGGAGACAAAAACGCGGGAGTACACGAAAAAACGGACGCTTTCGTTTCTCCACGACGATGACGTTTCCTGGCGAGACTGCCCTCGAAGCATATCTATTGTGGTCGCGACACAACAAGCCTTGGGAATATTCGCGGATGTTTTTTTTTTTGCGCCGGCGACCGACGGAAGAAAAAGGTGCGAACACGCCTGAACGGTGCAAACGCGCCAGCTCAGTCATGATCCTTGATCAAAGACACAGCAGTGTTGAGTACAGTAGTGCGGACGTCGCTGAAAACGTTTTTACTGTTTTTACACGTGATTTCGAATTCGAATATTCGCTCTTCGCAGTTTTTATCACCGAAATCTTTGGTTGATTAGCGAAAGTTTCACTAACATTTCGTTTCGCGAATAAGTATGTATTCCGTGACCTATAATATCCTAGAATGAAACGTCATTTAATATAGATTAACCCAACAAAAAATAATTATATATGATTTTGTACACACGCACACATACACATGATTTTTCGCGAGCAGGTATAAGGTATTTAATATAGATTTAACATAGACGCTTCCCTCCCCCCATCCACGCGCTTTTTTCAAATAAATAAATGCAAATAAAACTAAATGATAAATATTCTTAGTGCCGAGCTGGCTTAACATTTTGTTTTAGTTTTTTGGCATGTATATAGAGAAATCATGCGCGGGAAAATATTATTTACGTGTTTTGAGAATAGTCGCATTTGCAAACAGCGTCGGCTTTGTCCGGCGATTAACATAATGTCGGAATAATCATTAATCAGAAAAGGTGAATGCGGAAGTGCAGTCGCGCGACGGAGGAGCGAACGTTAAAGAACAACCGCAAATAGTGAGAGTGAGGAAAGAGAGTGGGAGCGTTAGAGGGAGGGAGGGGAGAGAGAGAGAGAGAGGGAGGGAGGGAGGGACTCGTCGGTCTCCTCGTAATGATTGTCGTTAACCGCCGCTGAGCTGTGCAAACCGTTCGGTCCGCAGCCGAGACTTTTGTATGCTAATGACAGGGTAGTCCGATTTCATCCTACGGCCGAGTAAAAAATCTTGGGGGTCAACAGACCCATCATGCGCCCGAGTTTCCAGTCTCCCTCGAGCGCCATTGACCTCGAATTGAAAACGGATGCAACCTCTCGCCTGCTCGTCGACTTTCTGCAGTCGAAAATTTTACAACGGAGTTTACGTGTTTAACCCGTGACACCTACACATCATTACTTTCGTCCCCGTTGCGTGTTTCTCGCAACACACGCGATTATTACGATTGTACGATAATTTACTAACTAAATTTAACTAAAAAAATGTACGATAATTTCGCAGCCGAACCAAGTAGAATTAAGTCAAAGTCAGGAGCCAGAATCAATCTAATTCTGCTTATTTTTTCGAAACTATGATCAAAGTTAAAAGTGATTAAGTTTACCTTTTAATACTAAAAACGACGATTCTTCTACGCGCGTATGATATATCGTTATTTATCAACGGGATATTTCTCCCTTGATATTCTTAGTATTATATTTTTAATATTTCCGAAGTAATTAATGTTTATTATACGCACGATACGTATTTTGAAAAATTTAACCAACGAATTGTCATGATTGCCGAGATGCGAATATAGCGCGCAACTGAATAATAGACCGAATGGTAGAATCAACTTAATTAGACGCTGCTATTAATACTTTCGTCATATCTTTGTCAGATCACGAAGCGTTGCAAATGTAAATATTGTTCTACCGCGGGCTCACTCTTTATAATTTGCAATTTTCTCTTCTCTCTCACGGTCGTTCACGTTCCATTCATCCAGGTGACATCCGTGTCAGTGGGTTCTAAGGGAATTATTCAAAACCAGCCCTGACTGGCAAAAGTGCAGCCGTCCCCGGAACTGTAATCCCATACCCGTATCTGATCTGCATAAAAGAGGTGAAAAAACGTCGCGCGGGAAAAAACAAAAGCGCGGAGAAAACGTGAATCTGCGCGAGTCGTGCACATGGGCTTTGTGAAACGAATCACTAAAGCACACAGCCAACTTCATCGCCACTAATGCTTAAGTATTGCATTTCAAATTGCGAACAAAAATGATCTCTGTAATGTAAAAAATATTTTATACAACATATCATATACCGAAGATTAAAAAATTATTTATATATAATATAGTTGATAAGAGAAGGAAAGAGAGAGAGAGAGAGAGAGAGAGAGAGAGAGTTTATTTATGAACTATTTTCATTTTATATTATAACCTTCCAGTAAGTCGTTATTCATTTTTTCCTCGAAACTGGTATATTTATTATACATCTGACGCGAGAATTTATCGCTTCTTGATATTGTAAGAACATTTTAAGGAAAAGTAAGGAGATCCGCTAAATGGCGCGAGAATGCAAGACCTCTTTAGTTCAGCGGTTGGATGGCAGTTAAAAAATATCAACGACATCACGTTTGTCTTTCCACTCTCCCTCTCTCTCTCTCTCTCTCTCTCTCTCTCTCTCTTTCTCGCTGTCTTCCTTCGTCGAGCTGAAGTAACTGCTGCTGGCCCCGCGTCCTCTCTTCTCTCGAAGAATATATACCTAGCAATATTATGCGCGTGACGAAAGAGATCTTCAGTCGAATATGCTAATGCGCGCCGCGGCATAATGTGAGGCCGATACGCCGAGGCAAAGCCAATTATGATGCGGAGACCTATCGCGCTCGATATTCCATTTTGCACATAGATTGTCTTCGAAATCTCTCTCCCCCCTCTTTCTAACTTCCTCCCGCTTTTACAGTACATAAACGCGCGATGGACGAGACGAGAGAAGGGACGAGGAGAGGGTTACATAGACAACGCCATAGGCGGAGGTCTGCACCGGTGTCCATTGTTCGAAAGCGCTATTTGTATTTATTTGGATCCTTTGTTCGAGCCTTGAGAGATTCATGGGACGAAAGGTGGGGCAAGAGGTAGAAAAAGAAGAGAGAGAGAGAGAATTTATTCGGAGGACGAGGCAAAGGGTGAGTGTAGTCCACCAGTCGTTACGGGACTATTCTATGTTTCGGTTGAAAAAAGTCAGCCACATGCTGCGAAAGAGGAAAACGTGCTCTGTCCTTTCGAAGACTCCGGCTTATACCGTCATCGACGTACGCATTGGGCACGCAAAACTGGTAGTGATAAAGGAAAGACTCAATCAAGAGTAGCAGGCTGATCGTTTGTCTTTGACATGTGATACTTTTTGAAAATAGCAATCGTGCAATTTGGTGACGTTCATATCGTTTCGGCGATATAAATCGACCGATGTAGAAGGCCCTACGATTCTATCTTTCTTCCATCTTGTAGAAAATCGCCGAAAAACTTTGTTGTGTTGTCCGAGACACATGAGGAAACATGAGATCGTGAGATAGACTTTTTTGGACGTTGTGTACAAGAAAGCATCGTGACGTGAAGTTTCACGCACGAGTAAACCAAGTCACGAAGAAAAGCTCGCTGTAAGAAAAGTAAATGAATTTTGCCTTTCGATATTGTGCAAAAATCGTGAATATGACGTCCGGTCTGCTTGCACGACGTACACGCAATTAATCATGTTGTTTGTGGGAAATCGAGCACCGTATCTGTGGCCATGACCACGGCAAAACTTTTGTCACTGTAATTGAACCAAAAAAAGGACTAATAAGGGAAAAAGGAGCCCTACTTTTACCATGAGTAACTCTTTAGGTCGTAATCTAACACGAAGCTATTTGCAATCAAACGTGCATCAAACACAAAAATAAAACGATTTTGAACGGAACGGCCGATCGTCGAACATCTCGAACCATGTCCATTTTCGTTCTCGATTAATCTTTAATGTTACTTTTTTCCTTGTTGGATATCTCGAATAAGGTAAGGTTACTTTCTTCGTCAGTGTTGTGCTTAGATAATTTTAAAATTAGCCAGATAAAAATAAGATGAAATATGTATCTCTCTTAGTATGTTGTAAATTAGTATCTCTCTTAATATGTTGTTCCGATCACAGATGAATCCTAATGCAATCTTAGTTTCGATGTTGTTTAATAAAAGCAACAGTAACGCAAACGTTTGCGACGTAAAAACAGTTCAACGAATAATTCAATATTTTATACACTTGCAGCAATGTAAACTAAATTACCTATGAATGATATGACCTTAGATGATTTCGTAAAGATAATACTTTTCTCAATTTAAGAGATGCACGTGAAAATAATACATATTTATATTAATCTAGATAAATCAGGAGAGGAGCTAAGTCGATGTCATAACTTTATCTGAATTATCATCTACATAATTGTATCGCGATCTTCCTCGAATCTTCTG